TGGTTTCAGACCAATCTCAAAGTAGATCTCATCTGAAAGTCTACGGATGGCTTTAGTCTTTCTACACTGAAGTTTTAGCTACTCTCCTAACCCTTAGTCCATCAAAATCATTATTAATAAACTAAACTTTAATAACGCTTGAAATAATAGTTTACCAATGCCATCATTGCTGATACCTTTTAAATTTCGGGAAGGACTCACAGTGGTTATCTCCTGTAGACTGCAGTCGTGAGCAATAAGCAGTACTTGCTGCAGAGCAGCAGACTGACACTAAAAGCATGCACAATGTAAAGTAGCAAATGCGCTTCTGGAGAACCAAACTTCATTTGCTGGGATTAACACTTTGAGATACTTAGAAATACAGGGTTCTTCTTAGCTGGGCAAGTTTTTGCTTCTCTGGATACCTGCAAACCATGTACAGCCAGGCATAACACTTCACCTGCTGCCCCCCGCTGAGCATACTGCCTCTTCAGATCAAGTATTATCTAACAGATTTTGTTCTTGGGTCAAGTGCAATAACCTCATGTTTTTTGAGACCAAAAAAAGCTCTTAGTTTTATTCCTTCAGATTTTGTGCTTCCTGTAAAGCGCAGCCTTTCAGGTAATGTCACACTCATCTTTAGACACAGTTTTGAAGTTGACTTTCAACGTTTTGCTTCTGTTGCTCTGTAAAGGTGTTTTGTGCTTAGAAACTAGAACATTAGAATATATTGGTATTAGAATAATACCAAGTTTAGTTTTCCCTTGTTCTGTCATAGGAACTTTGGAAAGTCTTATTCACTGACAGCAACAGAGTCTTCAACAAAGAACTCCTTTTTCTTAAATGTTACGCAGCAGTTAAAAGTTGAACAGGTGTTAACAAAAGATGAAGATTCAATATCTCTGTCCTGTCTCAACCTGCTCGCTGGTTCCCTGTTCTCTGGACATTTACCATTTCCCTGGCTCCCCACATGGTGAGCGGCCTGTCTTCTAACTTATAGGAAGGGGCCAATACTCTAATTAAGAAAATGAGCAGGAAAGAGGATGCAGGGATGGCATTTCAGGCTGCAAGAGAGGAGCACAAGCCTCGCTGTATTTTAGAGTCTGTGCAGTTTCACCTCCTTCAAAAAAGCATGTTCCTTCTGCATTTCGTGCTCTTCTAACATGTGCTTGGTTAGAGTTGCACTGATCTACGCTTTTCTTTTTTCTTTTTTTGCTAATGGCACAGAATGCCACTTCCAGGGTAGCAAAGAAATGCAGTGTTTTTGAAAGTTTTACCATATGCTTTTTACATTTCTTAATTTTTTTTTTTTCTGGGAAAATTTTTCTCAACTATTTCTTTCTTAAGAAGTATTATGCTGGGTTTACGTCTGAGGTCAGTACCTGAGAATTCATCTGAAGGAAGAACAAAGAGTTAGGTTGTAGCATTGCCCTTGCTGCCATGTGTTTTGTCTTCGAAAGGCCATAGCAATAGCCAGATGAAAAGCGAGTCCTGAGGAACACTAACTCCCTGTTACTGGATCATCATGCTGTTGTAATGCCCCAGGCAGACCCCTGCTCAGCCTTGTTCACAGCTAGTATCGCACCTTGCTGGAGTAAGGACCCTGCCAAGGACGCTGATTCACCCAACTGCCCTGGTAGCAATTCCTTCCAAGGGTATTTTGGTGGTTTATCCATTCCCCTCCTGAAGCTAAACTTCTGGAGGTCCAGGTAGTTTGTATGCCCTGTAGGACATTTAAACATTCAAACTTTGACAAGCAGAGAGGTGAAAGCCTGATGAAGTCCTGATCTCCTGCCACCCCGCCAGCAAACAGCCGTCCTCAACAGGGGCTGCTTTATTTTAGCGCTCTGGTTTCTACCACTGCGAGGTATCAGCTGACTGGCATTGGTTTTGCCGTGGGAGTTTGACACCTGTTTGGAGGTGCGTCTCACACCTTGTCTTTCCCTTTCTCCCCACGCTCCCAAGGTCGGCTCCGTGGTAGCTGTCGGCTGGATACGTTCCAAGAAAGCTGTCGACTGGCGTCTCTTCCGCAACATCTTCCTGGCCTGGTTTGTGACTGTCCCGGTCGCTGGCTTGTTCAGTGCAGGAGTGATGGCACTGCTGATGTACGGTATTCTGCCTTATGTCTGAAGAGCCTCTTTCTCCAGGAAAAGGGGAAACGGCCAAGCTACTATGGAGGGGAGAAGCGTTCCCTGGAAAGAACCAGTTGGAAAGGATTCATCTTCCATATCTAACTTCTTATCTACTGTACATAACAATGTGTCATATTGGTGACATGGTGATGTGGTGCCATTTCTTATATATTAAAGAAATATATATGCATATAGTAGGTAACAATACCTAAGTTATATTATCAGTGGGGTGAAAATAATTGCCTAGAATTTAATATTTAGTAAAATTTGTACATAGTGTATCATTTTGGTGGCAATTTTTTTAATCTTTTGAAGAAGAGTATGGATTAGGAAATGTTTCTTGTCCATTTGCTATACGAAGAAGCGAGGTACAGGACTGCATAACATGAATTTTTTTAAAGCTATTAAGATACTGGAACAAAATAAAATGTGCAGAAGTGCTTTTCATAAAATAACTTTGTTCATATCATATTGAACTTTGTGTATCATAGCGTAATGGTTATGGCTTTGTAAATACTTACAAACAGTAACTTTTAAATGGTGCATTTCCCTTATATATTTTGGATAAGAAAGTTTAGGAAGTACCAAAGAAGCAGGGGAATAGCTTGCCAATATTATGTTGTTGTCTACACGTGTGGGCGTGTGTTGTGTTTCCCCACCTCTAATTTAAAGTTATTTTCACTAAACTACCACCAGCAAAGCTGGGAGAGTACTGTTCATGTCTTAATGTAACTGAAAAAAAAGAAAAAAGCACACAAAAAAATGGTTAGTTCTACTTGTTCTTGTTACTTAGTAGGCATAACACTACTGTCCACGTTTCACTATAGTATACTGGCTTCATTTCGTGGTTTGAAGTATCTCACTGCTCACTTTCTACCTTCCCCTTACAAGGCTTTGCTCCCAGTTGTCCTACTATCGGTTTCAGTGTAAGAACAGACCATCAGTCTCCTCTTTTCTATCCAGCACGTCACAACCACACAATCTCAGGTAAATGAGTGGGATTGTAGGGTGTATGTCATAGCCATGTACAAATGCTAAGGAATAACAGCAGGTAGAAAGCGGGCGGTAGTTTTGTGTGATTGAAGGTATCGGTGCAGAAAGGGGTACCGAATGCTGCTTGAACTGACTTGAGTACAGCCAGGATGTGAGTAAATACCTGAAGCTGGGACTGGGCCCCCCAGGCAAGTCTCATCCTACACCCCAACCAGGCAGCCTCGTGTGCTGCTGTCCACCATGACTAGGGGACGAGACTCTGGCGCTGCATGAATGGAGATTGCATGGTAACCAGCATTTAGGATGAGATTTTTCCCAGCAGCTCAGGGGACCTGTGTGGAAAATGGCCAGCTACATCCCCTGCACAGCTTTGGAAAGCACATTTGCATTAAGGTTACTGTTTCTTGGGGAAGAGGTAAGGGCAAAGGGGTGGCCGGATGAGGTTGGGAATCTATTACTGTTTAAATGCTGCTAAAATTTTGATAAACGGTCTTGGTACTCCATTGTGACTTTTCCATTGGTCATTCATACTAAATTTATAATAAAAGGAGAAACAGCCCCATCACTGTTTGCGTCTTGGATTTTTTGAGCGTTGCGCATCCACGTCAGCTGTTAACGGGGACTGGCGCAAAAGCAAAAGCTTCCCTGCATGGGCAGCTAAATCCTACTACTTGGCCCTTGCCACTTTTTGTTCTTCATCCACTTGGGTCCGGGGTTGGAGCTGGTATGAAACACTGAACCGGAGCTCTGTGCCACGCTAACAAAACCCCCCTATTTACTTCTGCTGCCCTGGCGTTGCCAGCATCGCTCCCACCTGCTCTGGCGGCTCCTGTGGCAAACATTTCTATGGCGAGCGTGCAAGGTCAGAAGGTCAGAAGGTCCCTGGGTACTTCCCATCTGCTCAGTTGTCCCGGGCACCTTCTGGCTCCTGCTGCTTTCTGCCAAGGATCTGGGAAAAACCCTGCCTTTCAGGGACCCATAAACATTGCCCTCTCCATGGCACTGTGGCGCTTGGTTTGCGAGCACTCTGAAACTCCAGCCCGGTTATATAAATAGTGGTAACAACCAGGTGGGATGGGTGGTCGGTGACTGAGTGAAACGACCAGCTCGTGAACACGTGAAGATGATTTAAGACCTAGGGGTGGACACGGGGCTTGGCATGCCCGAAAGTTGCCCACAAGGAGCAAAACTACACAAAACCCAGGCAGCACTGCCACCTTCACAAATTTTTTGGTTCATGGGCATGCAGCCTCGGGATCATCTCTTAGATGACTTGTTATCGCAAGTGGTGTCATTATAATTTCAATTAACGGCACTTACTGCCCACGGGCTGGCCCTTCCTAGGGTGCAGGAGGCCTTGTTTCCAAATTTAGGTCCTTGGGAGCTATCAGTAATTAAGATATCTTTGTCTAGCTTCAGGTTGAGTTGCCGAGATAAACCTTTAAGCTCAACTCCTGACGTGTTACACACAGCTGTGCCGCCGACTTTGGCAGCGGCTCAGTGCCTGGCTGACTTTGGCAGCGGCTCAGTGCCTGGCTGGCCTGTCGGCTTTCCCCTGGTGCTATTCGGCAGTGTGCAGGGACATCTCCTGGCTGTGAGCTGGGCTGCAAGTCAACCTCCTGGGCATCCCTGGGGGATGTCCTGGGGCACCGCCCTGAAGCCATCTTGCATCCTGCAGGCTCATGGCCCTCTAAACACGCCCTCTGGGCGGCCGTGCCACGCCACGGCACCATGGCTTGTTAACCATTACCGAAAATGAGTGGGAGGGCAGAAGTGCACGGACAGTCCTTCCGGAAATGCAGGCCTGCACCGTAGTGGTGGGGCTCCCACCAGCCCTTCATACAAGAGCTGCAGCGCTGGGCACTGAGGGGCCAAAGCCAGGTGGCTTTTTGGTACCTAGCAAATCCCTAAAAAATCCCATCAGGGAAATGCCCACTCTGCTCTCCCTTCCCACCAGGTCCAGAGGGGACCCACTTATCTAGGGGTGGACTTTGCCTGAAGGTGCGTTTTCCTCGGGAACAGCCCCTCTGACCCTCTTTGCCTTGTCCCAGCACCTTGCCGAGTGAGCCGAAACCCTCGTGGACACGGTGCTCTGAAAGCCGAGATGGGGAGGGAGGACCTTGTCCGAGAGGAGCTGGGCACCCTCCATGGGATCCCCCTCTACAAGTGGTTCATCCAGGGCTGGCCACAAGTGGAGTCTTTCAAAGCCCGGCCCGATGACCTGCTCATCTGCACCTACCCCAAATCAGGTGAGTGGCCCCGGTGGGCGTGGGGATGAGGCGGGAGGGTGGTGAGGGGTGCTGGTGGCCTCAAAACACTCCTGCCTTGCTCCAGGCACCACGTGGCTCAGTGAGATCTTGGACATGATCTACCATGATGGCGATGTGGAGAAATGCAAGCGGGATGCCATCTTCAACCGGGTGCCCTTCCTGGAGATGAATGCCCCTGACATGCAGAATGGTGGGTCCTGCGGCATCGGTGTCCGGGGATGGGGTTGAGCCGGGGCAGCTCCATGCCAGCCCCTGGCGGTGTTTGCCTCGCTAACCCACTTGCCCCCCCCCTCCCCCCAGGTGTCGAACTACTGACCAAGATGCCTTCGCCGCGCCTGGTGAAGACCCACCTCCCCATCCAGCTGCTCCCTGTCTCCTTCTGGGATCAGGACTGCAAGGTGGGTGCTGCTGCGGACCAGAACATCCCATGGGGCGACCCTCAGCCTTGCTGCCTCTCTGACCCATGTTTCCTGCCCCCAGGTGATCTACGTTGCCCGCAACCCCAAGGATGTGGCCGTTTCCTACTACTACTTCTACCAAATGGCAAAGATGCACCCTGACCCTGGCACAATGGAGGACTTTCTGCAGAACTTCATGGCTGGGAAAGGTGGGAGCCAAGCCTGGGACAAATCCTGCCCCCTGGGGCCCCCTAACCCCACAAGATGGCCACAGGGTAGGACCCACTGGACCAATTAAACCCCAAATATGCCTTCCCTTCTATGCTGCTGGCCTGCAGTGGCGTACGGGTCCTGGTACACCCACGTGAAAGACTGGTGGGAGAAGAGGAAGGAGAAGCGGGTCCTCTATCTCTTCTATGAGGATATGAAGCAGGTGAGGGCAAGAAGGGTGGGGGTGGCTTGGAGAAGGCTGCCAGGGGCACCATGCTGCCCCCACCATCCCCTCAGGGCCAGCTTATGTGCCTCTCTGGGCGCCCCTCTCCGCAGGACCCCCGGCGTGAGTTGCAGAAGATCATCCAGTTCCTCGGCAAGGAGGTGGCTGAGAGCACGGTGGCAAAGATCATCCACCACACCTCCTTCCAGGAGATGAGGAAAAACCCCGCTGCCAACTATGAGACCCTGCCAAGCTGGGTGATGGACCACAGCTTGTCACCCTTCCTGCGGAAAGGTGAGTGCTGGCGCTGTGAGTGGCTCTTCCCACAGCCCCCTGTAGCATTAAATCGCTGCTGAAGATCGCCCTGGGGTGGCCACAGGGCCTTGGGGCAATGGCCTTGTGGCCCAGCTGGCCACTCTGCTTGATTTTCTCACCCCCAGGGATCGCTGGGGACTGGAAAAACCACTTCACAGTGGCCCAGAATGAGCGCTTCGACAAGCACTACAAGAAGCAAATGGAGGGCTCCGACCTCTGCTTCCGCATGGAGATATAAGGGGATACCGGACATGCTGGTAGCCCAGCCTGGTGGGTCTGAGCTGCTGCCGCCACGTTTCATGGGTCCCTCTCTGCGGAGAGGAGAGTCAGGGTTTCCTCCCACTGCAGTGCTGGAGGTTTCTGCTCCAGTTTTTGGAGGTGGAGGGAGGGGTTCTTCACCGTGTGGGGAACGAATCGGGAGTTTCTTCGACAGCTGTCATCGCAGGCTAAATCTGGGTCCGGCCTCGCCGTGTCGTGCGATTTTGTGCTATGTGACAATCAGCAGTGATTTGTTTTCCCTTCTGGCAATAAAGTGTGATGGTGGCGGAGAAGGTGAGCTTTGCTCTGTGGCTAAGGGTGCTAGGAACAAGTGGAAGGATTGGCATCGCAAACTCGCCTATCTGCTGGTTAAAAAAAACAAAAAAAACAACAAAAAAACCCCCTTTCCTGGGTACGTCTTAGTAAAAGGCTTAGCTGTGCAGGCAACCAGTGGTGGCTGTCCTGCTCTTGGCCCACGGTCCCTTCCTGGCCGGACCTGGTTTGCATGGGGGCAGGGGGTGTGCAGCTGAAAATCAGTTTTATCCCTCTGAGCTGAAGCAGCAGAAACTCCCGCCCCAGGGATGCAACCCGCAGGCATCCCAAGGAGGAGAGCCAGAGGCATGCAAAAAGGGAAAAGCGAGCCTCTGCGTGGGGAGATGGTACATTTGCAGCAAACCCAAAGGGCAAACAGAGAGTCCTGGGTCTCCCAGCAGCATAAAACTGCAAGCATTTAGTACCCAAAGGCTCTGTCCTTATGCGGCTTGCAGTGACATTCAGCCGGACCCCGAGCACGGCTCTCCATCATGAGGTACCTGCATTAAGGTACCTGCAGGAGCTAGGAAACGCTTGCAGGGCAAAATTTTCCTCTGAAGCATCACTCTGAGGCCCTGCGACCTCACCTACAAAGCAAATGGCGGTGCCAGAGGCAACAGAGCCCTGGCAATCAGTGGACAGAAACCCAAAGCGGCCACGAGGTACCAGCGACCTCGCTGTCCCTGTACCTCCCAGATATGCCGGCGCTTTTATGCCCCTGGATAGCTGCAATGCTCTTTACAAAGCGGGAGGTGGTGGCGATCTGCCCCAAGGTCTTTGGGCAGAGAGAAATTTTCATTGCTCCTTCATGGCTGGGTGAGATCTTGCAAGCATCCCCCAGCCCCGCCCCCCCCCGAAAGTTGAGCCCCTAGAGCTCCAGCATATCTCTGCAATTCCCCAAAAGGGGACTTTTCCAAAAAAGCCCAGTGCGGGGGCTGCGTACGTAGCCCAGTCCTCCATGAGATGCCAACCCCGAGTGGCTCTGGGACCATTTGTCCCAGTAAGCTGCCTCCGAGAGCCCGAATCCTGCAGCAATTATTGTTATCTGGAATTTTCCAGATGCAGCTGTGAAAAAATCGGTGCCAAGTGAAGGAGGGACGCCACACGCTTGCGTTCAGCCTAACACATGCAGGAGGAGAAAAGCCACATCAGCTCCAGGAAGCAGCTGGGGCCAGTCTGTGAAGTCATGAACAGGGGGTGAGGTGGAGAAATTCCAGGAAAAAACAGACCCTCTTCTGATTTCCCCTTACCCCAAATGGCAGAGGCTGTGAAAAAATCGGTGCCAAGTGAAGGAGGGACGCCACACGCTTGCGTTCAGCCTAACACATGCAGGAGGAGAAAAGCCACATCAGCTCCAGGAAGCAGCTGGGGCCAGTCTGTGAAGTCATGAACAGGGGGTGAGGTGGAGAAATTCCAGGAAAAAACAGACCCTCTTCTGATTTCCCCTTACCCCAAATGGCAGAGACCCTTCAAATTAGGAGCAATTTGGGGCAGGCAAATGTGCAAGCTACGCTCCATGCACAGCTCTTTTTTTTTTCCTCTCCAGTATGCTGGTGACTT